GGTGGGCAGCAGCCAGGTACAAGAACAAGAGTGACACTGGAGCCCAGCTGTCGGGGCTGGTGTGGCCCACGTCTCAGGGGAGCCATCGCGTCAGAGGCTGCAGAGTGGTGCCTCTGGGGTTGTGCAGTGCACAGGCCGAGAAGCTTTTCTGGCAACCGGGCAGATGGTGAGGGACTTTGTGTAACACGTCAGGTTGGCTGGTTGCCTATCCTGGAGGTGGACTTTGTTTGCAGGACAGTGGACATTGAATGTCTTTTAGCAGAGGCATGCCAAAGCCATAAAACAAGTAGGAAGCTTCTGGAGGTCCTTTTGTTTTGAGGCACATGGTGGAAACTTGACCAGTGGCCAACGTGGTAGGGCACGTCAGTGGTGCCCCGATTTGCTCAGACCTTGCACTGTCTTGGGTAGGGTAGTATTTGTTGGAGACACAGACATTTCTTGGTGCAGTGATGCTAGAGTTTGCTCTAGGGCAGCACGAGAGGGAGTCACCGCATTGTCTGAAGACTTCCCCACCTGCATAGATGCCCCAGGTCTTTACTAGGTTCTGTGTGCCTGCTCCCCTCCCTCATGCCTTGGATGCTGCCTGGCCTCTGCTGACCATCATCATAGCTCAGCTAAGGAGACATTAATGTGGGGAAGGACCTTGGACTTGTGCTTGGGTGTTGTGCTTCCTACCTGGGCAAGAAGGCAGCAGTGGACCTGCCCCAAGGCCTCATGTGCCTGGTCAGGCTGCCTTCTGATGTTCAGTCCCCTGAGCTGGGATGATTTTTTTTTAATGTCTTGAGATTTAAACTCTGCTCTTGTAGGGGAAAAAGAAATAAACAGAGGAATTAGAACTGGGTTCCGGTCTCAGTACTACTAGGGGACCATGGACTCATAACCTCATTTCTCTGGGCTTCAAGTCTCTTCTGCAAGATGAGAATAAGAACACTTGGCTTGTTGTGACAAATAAAATAATGCATATGGTGGCTCTTGTAAAACTTTATTTAGGTATTATTATTGGTACTAATTTGCCTTCCCCCGTCAGAGGAAAAGAAAAAGTATTGAGAACATATTTTGTCCATGCCCCGTGCTAGGTGGTGTGGCATATAATCTCTCTGTTAATCTTACTGGGAAAGCCTTCCGGGTTACTGTGAGGATGAGGAAGCCAACCGAGTCTTAGCGAGGTTAAGTGGCTTGTTGGAGACCACACAGCCTGCTGGTGGAGTGCGAGGTATGTGTGACTGCACAGCCCGACCCGTTTCTGGGACTTGTTTATCCACCAGGGGGCCCCTCCAAGGGTCTGCAGCGAACATTGCTCCCAGGTGGGGACCCCATGGTCACTGTGTGGTGTCCGCTGCAGGCTCTGGCCAGGCTTTCTTGGGCGGAGGAGACTGGTTGCCTGCAGAGGTGCCTTCTCCCCTGCTGCTTCTTACACTGCAGCTCCTTGGAGATTTTTTTCCAAAACATCTAAGTTTGTTTTAATGAACAGAGACTTCAGTGGGGCCTTCCCCCAGTAGCAGAGCATCACAAGGTCTCCGAGGGTGGCCAACATGGGCATTGACACCCCAGAGCAGCTTTCTCTCTCTCTGTTTGTTCTTCCCTATCCTGGAATGTTCCAGAATCTGCAGGCTGCAGTGAGCCTAGAGGGAGAGGTCAGCCTAGGCAGTTTTGCCACCAGCCTGCCTCCGATGGGGTGACTTCCATTTTAAAGCTCTACTTAGAGCAGCTTGTGTCCCCGTGGGCTGTTCAAAAATGTACAGGATATGGTGATTCATCAAATTCCAAGAGGAAGGATTTTGTAAAGGAATTTTCTCACGGTTGCGTTTCTGAGCCTGGGATATTATAAATTACTTTTTCTGGCTGTCGTGGGTTGGATGAAGCTTTAGTCTGAATGTTTACCCACTTGGGAGATGCGTTCATTTTTAGTCATTATTTTAAAAATCTTGTGTTTAAAATATTTCTTTTAAAATAAGGCTGCTGCCCAGTCTAAAGGAGGCCACTGGAACGGGAAGAGGTAACCTTGATGGTGCCCCCAAGCAGGGCTTCTCAGCCTTGTAGGTACGGGGGGATCACGCAGAGAGTGAAGTCTGGTGTGGCAGCCAGAACTCCTTCCAGCTCCCCATGCTCATTCTGGAAACTTCCTCACCATAGCCAACCCCTGCTTCCTGGCTGAAGGTCTCCTTAGCTTGGTAGCAGCAGCATCCTGTTAGATTTGTGCCCTGGACTTGGAGGCTGAGACTGGCCGATAGGGCCCTGGCTGAGCCTCCCGCCGCTCTCTGCCCAGCACTGAGGGATTGCCGAGCTCCTCTGGGCCCTGTAGCAGTGGCTGAGCAGGAGAGGGGTCGGGGTAGATCTGAGCAACAGCGCCCTGAGGGCCCTTTCTTCAGTTGAGGCTAGTTTAAAGAGAATTGGGGGGAGTTCGAAGAAACCCAGGCAAAGCCTGCGGCTCCTGGGTTAATTGTCTAGAAACAGATGAGCTCACTGGGTGGCCGGGAGGAAGTTCTCTGGCATGGATGGAACCTGCAGGACCCACGTTACTCTCCAGGATGGCTTAGATGCAGCCTTTGCCTCACATCCCTGCAGCTGGGAGTGCAGGTTGGGAAGGGGAGGAGGCCTCTGTGACTCGGGGTGCTCAGGGGACAGGAGGCCGCATGGTTCTCTGGCCTGGAAACCTGGAAACTGACCCACCGCCCTTTTCCTCCAGCCTTCTTCCCCTGTGCTGTCTGCACCAGGTCATCACCAATCCCAACCTTTGTCCAGATCTGATGAGGACCAGACAGTGTCAGGACTGCAGGGACTTTTGAGATGAGTCAGTCCACCCCTCAGCTCAGGGATGATGAAACTGGAGCTCAGAGAGATTATCCGACCTGGCAGATCACCCTGCTGGTGAGGGCCAGTGCCACCGTCCTGGGCTCCTCCTGAATTTATTTTCTGTACTGCATGGACCTGCAACTGGAGTGCAAAAGTGGGTTTTGATTTTAAATATGCACAGTTCAGTGAAAGGAATGCTATCCTGTGGGGACAGTCCCCAGGCATGAACCAAACCTGAATCCTCTTACACTCTTTGGGTTATAATCTTCGGTGGTGTTGGGTTTGAAACTTTTCCACTATAGTTGCCCTCTGGCGGTCTGCCCAGCAGGTTTGGTTTTCTTAGGTGGACGCCCCATTGGATAATGACAATAGTAATTCCTGACACAGGCTCAGCACTGTACACTTTACAGAGCCTGTCCCATTTGTCCCCATTAGGTGGTCAACCAGGGCCTATCCATGGAAGTCAGAGAGCCCTCCGAGCCCAGAGCTCTGTCCCCAGCTCAGTGTGACAGCCCAGGCTGGTTGTGGTCATCGCCAGAGATAGGCCTGTGACCCCAGGGCAGCCTGTCTTGTCCGGAACCCCTTGTTCTGTGTCACTGACACTGGTAGGTGTGGGGTCCAGACCTGTGGTCCCTCTATGTGCAGCTTCTCACTTGCCCTCCAGGACCCACAGCCCCGTCAGGCTGGAGACCCTTGGCCCTGGTGGCTGCTGTATTTGGACCCTGCACAGGCTTTGGCAGAATGCTGCTGCTCAGTGAGGATATACAGGGTGCAGCCTGACCTTGTGCACCAGCCTCTTGGCACCTTGACCTTGGGGCCAGGCAGATTGCCAAGGCCACACAGCCCCAGCAGGAGAGTGGCCTCTGAGCTGGTCGAGGTTCCTGGACCCCAGGCCAGACTGGCTTTGAGACTCAGCATGTTCTGTGTGACTTGCTTTGACTCACTGAACATAAGTTGGCAGTGATTTGGATTATCAGGTGTTGAATAAGTGGCCTGAGGTTGCACTGATACTGACCACTCAGACAGGAGTTGGGCTATCACACCCCAGCAGAAGGTACAAGGAGATGTTTCATGGGACGTTGACATCAACTGCTTGCCCCCCGAATGGTAGAGGTGATCAAGGCTGCCCAGGCCCGAAGGATATTACCGGTTGTTAGTTCCTGGAACCAACCACCTAATAAGCTTGTGAAATCTGCATCTGGTGACTTGATGACCAGTCTACCTCACCTACTCATTAATTCATTACTCCCTGGGCCTATGTTGAGTGCCCCCTGGCCTCAGCACTAGTGACCAAGTACAGACCCTGCAGGAACTTGGTGATGAGGGTGGTGGGTCCTCAGGGTTAGTATTGATCAGCCCTGATGAAACAGAAACAGTCAGAGGGGATACCATGAGCACCCAGAAAATTAATGTCAGAATTAGCCACCCTTTCACGGCCAGTGCTCTTGGAGAAGTGGAATTAGAACCTGATCCAGGCTCTCGATGTCCAGAGAAGTCCTTTGTGACACTGCACTGAACTCACAGGACAGACGTCAGGTCCCTAATCCCCTCGTCCCCTTCCTGTAGCTTCAGTTCCTCATGAGACCTGGGGACTGGTACTGGCCACCCCTCACCTGCTGGCAGGGGCATTGGCTAAGAGAATGCGTATGAATCCCAGGAGCCTGTAATCCTGTGGCACATCTGTAGGGTAGCGTGTGACTCCGGAATCAGCCCAGGACTTCTTCAGGTCTCCTGTGACATCCCACACGACCTTCGGCTTTTAGGATTACGTACTCCCAGCCAATGGATCTGGGCTTTGTTCACTCCCCTCCCCAACTAATCAGCACAGCACCTAAGTGCACCTAATCAGTAGGTGCTCAGTAAGTGGCGGTTGAACAAATGAGTGAATGAATGAATGGGTAACGGAGGGACTGTGTAGGCCTCACAGGTTGATGGGATTGGCCAGTTTAGCTACGGTGTGAAGCAGGAGGGGAGAACAGTAGCCCCTCAACCAGCCTTCCAGGCTGGGCCTCACCCATCCATGGCAAGTGGGGCAGGGTCTGTTCCAAGGACCTAAATATTCCATCGAGGCCGGAGGCTCTGCTGGGGCCCACCCTGGACACCAGGCAACGTGGGGTTTGATTTTGGTCACCGTCTGCCCCACCTCCTCCATGCCTTCTCCTGAAGACGTGCCTTCACCATTGTCCTTTTCTCTCCTCGGGGCGCAGATCTTGGCCAACGTCTTCCTCTACCTGTGCGCCATCATCGTGGGTATCATGTCCTACTACATGGCGGACCGGAAGCACCGCAAGGCCTTCCTGGAGGCCCGCCAGTCGCTGGAGGTGAAGATGAACCTGGAAGAGCAGAGCCAGCAGCAGGTAAGGCTCTGTGGGGTGGCCTCGGGGCAGCCTGGGCTGGGAGCCTGCGTTCAGGGAGGATGGCCTGGGAGGAGGGACTTGTCAGGAGGGAGTGAGGCCCCTGCTCAGCTCGCCCCAGCCCCATGGGCCTTGGAGTTTGTCTGCCTGGGTCCGGTGTTGGCTGCCTAACGTCCCTCCTGGGCCCCTCGCCATTAGAGGACCTCCTCGCCATCAGAGGACCCCTCCTGACTTCGGGGAGCATCTCTTACTGGAAACTCACTCCTAAATCTCCTTCTCTGTGCTTGACTGAAACCTCCCTCTTTCCCTCTTTCTGCTTTTTTTTTTGCCCAATAATTTAAAACTTTTCTTTTTGAAGAAATACATTGCCCCAGCAGCCACTAATGACTCCATGTTCTTTTCTCAGGTGAAAAAGTTTTGTGTTTATTTTGAATGCTTTTTCTCCATGGCCACGTTTGTGTTACTCCTCAGCCTCGCTCTGCCTCTCTTTCCAGGTCAAGGGCAGATTCACACTGCACACCTACTGTGTGTGCAGAGCTGCTCTCCCTGAGGCGGGGACACATTCCCTGGCTTTGGGGCCCTTCTGGGTGAAGTCCATCAGCCCAGGGGCACTCTTTCCTTCATGCTCAGGGCAGCCTTCCCACTTCCTTCTCCCTCTAAGTCATTTATGACGAAGTAAAAGCCGCCCAGCCCGGTCCTGGGGGACCCCACCGTTTACATTTTTCCATTGAGAGAAGTGCCTGCTGTCCCCGTTGTTTGTTTACCGGCTTTTCTCCAGCTCCATCCACCGCAGAACCTCCCGGTTCTCATGTGATTCAGCCTTTTGCATAGTTTTTGGTTTGGATTCATCTCAGATGCTTTTTGAAGGTCCCTAGAAATTACATCCACCAATTTCCTGGTATCCATAGGTTTATTTCCCCTTCACACACAAATTCAATACATAGGAAACCCATGATTCGCTGCTCTGGGAACCATGTCATTTTGCGTTCACGTGGTGCTGAGTGCTCTGGATTCACTAACATTGCAGTTTTTGTAGACTCTGCCACTCAGGTGGATGGGGTTGTAGTTTCAGGGATCACTCTGGATGGAACCTTTGTTCAGGGGACCCCCATTGGTGGGCCTCACATTCTCTAGACAGCGCTATTTGAAAGCACACACTGAATTATTTAGCTAATGGGTCCCAGCTTCCTCTGTCCTGGGGATATATTTTCTCTCTCTGTTTACCAATAAGATCTAGAAGCTTCAGAGCTAGGCCTCAGACTCATCTCTTTCAGAAGGTAGCTTATCCTCCTGGCCTCCGTTGTGACAAAGGGCCAGGCTTTGCTCGTTGTATTTGTCGCCGTCTCCTTACTCCTGTGTCCTGTGGTTATCGACGAGCTGCTGAGACTTGAGTATATTTAAAAGAATCCTGCTTTATAGAGTCCCTTGAAAGGCATTCTTTAGTTTCTGTTTTTTATTCTATTTGGTCTCTTGTTTGTATCTGGTCTCTCAGACTGTGGACACATCCCTCTGGGTTCTCTATATAAAAAAAAAAAAATGCATGTTTCACCACTTACTAGGCCGGGAGTTCTTTTTTATGCAGTGTCTGTGCAGTTTTCATCACCCTTATCTACGTTTGTCTCATCTGTCTCATAACATATAACCTGGGACATCTTCCATTACACTGAACAGTGCTGGGTGGGGGGCCTCCAGGTGTGGTGAGGAGGGCCCCCTGGGCTTCACCCTGGATCTGTTATTCCCTGCATAGATAAGTTAGACACATTATCCAGGAAGTTAGACAAGGTCTCAAGAATGAGAGGTCCAGTGAGGCAGAAGGGAGGTGCTGGGTGGCGGGGATGAGGGGCCCAAAGTACCTTCCAGGCCCAGCTGGAACACAGCAGGTGCCTGTAACTGTCCACAGGCGGAATGCATTTGTCGAGCCCTGCTCTAGCCTGAGTGTGACCTCGGGCTAGTTCCTTCCCCTCTTTGTGCCTCGGTTTCTCTATGTGTAAAGTGTAGATGATAAGAAAAACCTTTGGGTAAAATGGGACACTATGTGTGAAATCCTTCGGGAATAAGAAAAGCACTGTTACCATCAGAAGGGTTGGGATTCTGCCCCCACCCTGTGAGTTTCAGTTTGCTCATATTTTTCTTAGGACTTTTGTGACTATGTGCATGAGAGATTTACTTGCCATTTGAGCTTTCTGACCCTATTCTTTTTTTTTTTTTTTTTTT